CACTTAAATTTAAAAAAATGTATCTACTGTAATTACTATCAGTATTATAGAATTTATCCACCTAGTTTTAAACATACCTTCACTGGAGCTTTGACTTAAGAAAATAAATGTTTGCCATTAAATAGTTTTGTTACAAAATACATGGAGCAGAAATCTAACAAAATGTCACTAATTGGAGTACTGATCCAGTGTTAGTTTGAGTTAATGGTTAGAAAACATTCCCTCCAGTAACAATCCAATCAATAAAGCTTAGCATTTCTCTCCCAACAAAAATCCCAAAGCTAAAAGTTAACTAGATACAGTTGACTAGAGATGCCCCAATATTATTCTACACATTGATATTAAGACTATTTGATCGAAAGCAGAGATAGTTGAAAAGTTACCGGTTGACACTGGAAGTCCATGGCAGGGCGAAGACCAGTACCAGAGCAGGGAGAATCGTCGTCATGGCGGGAGGCGACAAAGTTGTAGACAAACTAGACTGGTCCGTCGTCTGGTCCTAGAACTCGCACCTAGGCTCTAACATGGTTCACAAGTACAAAGTCTACCCTTGACCGGCTGGGGAATATTAGAACGTAACTGTAATCATAACTGATCGCGGTGTTAAATGCTGCATAAGAGCGCTACTCAAAAACGCTAACGTACATTTGAATATCTGTATAGATTGTCCCTTCATGTAAAATGATTGATGGCTAATTTGATCATCAACCTCTTAAGTGACACTCCTCATTGATTGTCAGTATAACGGAGGGTAAATGGGGTTGATCTCGTGCAAAACCAACATAGGACATAAGAAGAAGTAGAAGTAAGATAGAATTGGCCAATCCTTGTGTGTCTGCGTAGAGTAAAAAAAAAAAATAATCATTGAAATAACAATAATTGATTCGTTTATGGTTCAGGAAACTTAAAAAACAAATATGTACTTCTGTACTTGAGACCAAGAACTCCTTTTCTTCATACTGCAGCAAAAACATCAGTTTTTATGCATGCAATGCGGGTCTAAAGTAGCGTTTTTACTCTCTAGCACAGAAAACGTACTACTGTCTCTAGGGAGTAAAAATCAGCTGTTGTAAACACTTGGAAATTTTCAATTGTGGCAATCGTATCGATCGATTATTTATCGATTGATTCATTAGGTTAGGTTTTAGCCTAGGCATTGTTGTCAACATATCGATGGTATGTTATAATGTACTGTGGGCCTTGACTGTAACACAATCGTAATGGACGAAATGATTGAATCACTTACTAAACAGCTGTTTAGTTGCATTAGTAGAATTGAAAACAAGAAGTCGTTTACATAACGTAGATAACATAGGTCGTTTTGAGTTGTTATGTAGGCCACATAACAATTATTTCGTTTTCTAGCTTTGTTTGTTAATTAATGATGCAATATGACGAAAAATATAATTCACCTCACGGGCAAAAAGTGACTTTGTAACCCTCACCCATTTTCCGACCTCGACTCCGCCTCGATCGTAAAACTTCACCTCGGGTCAAAGAGCTACTTTAGGAACTAGTAATGAAATATACAATTTTTTAATGATGCGTTACAAGGCTTACAGGGGTTATTTTTATTCGTACGGTAATAGTATTTTACGTTACTAGCCCGGTAAGTGGTGTTTTACCGACGCCTCGCGCGTGTGGAATTTTCATGCTAGTACGTTAAAGCTTACCGGGCTAGTAACGTACGATACTTGACATAATAATACACAGAATAATGACGTTAATTTTCCGGGTTTAGGCACGGTAAAGGGCAACTTTCCAGCCTATCAATACGGATGAAAAGTTACCTATTTCTGTGTAGTATGATGTAAACAATAAAAAGCTAGAGTAAAAAATATAGTTGTATATTTTTTAAATCGCTAACACCTATTTTAATCTATCAAGTCTATTACGAATAATAATGATCGATTGTGATTATTATGTGTTTTTCGTTACTGTATAGTTTTTGGCTCGATTTAATCATATACAAAACGGTACTTTGGTATTATACGGAGGCCACACATTTTACAGCGCGCTGCGGCGGTTATGTTAGATTTTATTATCATAAATATGTTTGTAGGAATTTCCTCAATTCGTTATGATGAGTCATACTTTCGATTTATGATAACCCAACCTAACATAACCGCCGCAGCGCGCTGTATAAGGGTGGCCTCCGTATAATACCGAAGTACCTATAAAACATACTCCATTTAATTTAGCTTACTTTGAAAATAAAAACTATCTTGATTAGTTATATATTTGCGAAATATTTGCGAAGCGGCTTCGGCAAGTTCTACATTATATTATTTATAATATCAAAGTAGAAATGTTCCGACAGTTTACCTCTATTACCACTAAGCTCATGGGAGTTTTTGTCACCTAGACCTACTTCAGATCCGACCCGCCATTGGAAATCCTCTGGTGTGACCACATAATCTGCGGGTCATCCCAATATGTGGAGCAGAACTAAAACTATTTAAGTTCCCTCTCTCCACTTCCTCAAAAAAGTCAACAGACAACAAAATCTGCTGGCCCCTGTGGCTCATAAGTGCACAATCCGTAACTGGGCTATCATAACTGGTGGTGGTACTGACATTTGATTTTTGTGTTCTAGTTGTAGGGTTTAAACATTCCACATTGACTATTGGTCAAAGGTTTAAGTAAATACAACATTGACTTTATCCTCATTTGTGATGCCTCAGCAATCGGCATGGCCAAAATCTCAGCCACTGTAAAATTTAGCAATGACTAATTTAGTTGCTCCTAAGCATGAAAATAAACGATAACGCAGTACTGTTATCTATAGTGCATGAGTGAAATCGACGTTTAAAGACGATGTTGTCCATGTATTATATGATTAAGTTGATGAAACTGTCCCCGTCCCCTGCTCTTTAAAGGTGAACATTTTGTCGTGTGACAGGTTTCCCAAGTGTGCATTAATCGCGCCTGCAGCCGTTGGAAGACAACGTATTTACTCTTTAGCGCTGCGTGTTGTCAGTTGGCGACTAATTTGGCGGTTACTTTGGCTAGCGATTTTCGTCTAAAGCACTTTTTAATCACTATATTGTAAACCAAATCCTTTAGTGAAAAAGTACCAACAAATCTTAACTAAACAATTTCCATCCTTAAGTTGTAATTAAGTTTCCATCCTTGCAACTATATTAATAGGATTTTACGTATAAAATTTGACTGAAAAATGTTATGGTTATGGTTAAAAATGTAGAGTTAAAAGAAGCCAGTTTACGAACGATTTCTTTGAGACAGTTGTATACTATTTCATCACTAGATAGATAACAAATAAAGTAGCTTTCATAATTAAATAGAAACAAAATAAAGTTGGAAAATGAGAGCATAATATAATAAAGTAAGGCATTCTTTCATTTTTACTTGAGACTCGTAAGTTGGATCAAAGTTAGCCAATACTTAATTTTTATTAGGCCGGGGTTTATAACATAAATTTTCTTTTATCTATTCAGGAAAAAGATTGAGATAAATAGACTGTTCTTCACATTTGGTGTTATCAGGTTCTAGAAAAGTAATTGGCCTACTAGCTTCAACTCTCACTCATCTTGCATTCATATCTGGTTTTTATACGCCTTCTCAAAAATTGTAAATCGCCGTATCTCTTTTTATTAGTCGCATGGTGATACAATGAACCATAGATGAAATTAAAAGACAAGCTAATATAATCTATGCATTGGTTTCTTACATACCGGTACTGTACTGTAGTTATAAATTATTACTGACAGACAGATAATCTTTATTAGAAAATCTTATAGAGATTTGAAAGGCGTCAGTATGTACAATATTATACAATGAGGTGAATTGCAGTGCATAAATTATTTTACACTGTACTGCTGTACAGTATAATGGAATTTTGCAGAACCAACGGATGAGGCGAGCTTTCAATTAGGGTAGTCATCTTTCAGCTCTCCTGGCAAAAAAATCCTTACCCGGCATAGGTAGGCTTTACGCTCGAAGAGTCCAAGGCGATGAGCAAGGTAATTTGCAGGTAATTTTATATATTTTTTTAGGAAATTTAATTTCTTGTTGCATAGCTATGTACTTCTTCAAGCCACTTGAGATTCCTAGTTGAGACCAAAACATGGGTTTCTATTATGTAGAGACTGATTATACAGAAAGAAGCTCACATCTTTGAATACGCCTCTAAAGAACTGTTTTCCAGCCAGTCGGCATCATACATGATTTTTAGAGTTTTTTCTTCAGTACCTATCAATACACGTTCCAACGCTCCAAGTGAGTATGACCCCAGGTTTTTCTAGTGGGGCCTTGCGTAGACCCTCAAACTGCTATTCGATATCGTGGATGGCTTTCAAATAGCGCGTGATACGCCAAAAGCACATCATCTTGAGTGCAGTGCAGACACTCCTAATTCTCCTCAGAGCATAGAGCATAGAGCGCTACTAAGCTGTCGACACAGGTAGTCTTGATGGTATTGCCTAGGGGTTAAGTCCCCTCCCCAGTCAGTATAGCAGATACATTTTCTCTTTTGTTTCCAAAGGTTAGTTGAATGGTCTAAGCCTCGTGGAAAACCGAGTCATTGCAACTCGCATACCCAAGATCAACGAAAGTCCTCATTTCCAGATTTTCAGCAGAGTCACAGATGCCAGATGAAAATCTGGAAATGAGGACTTTCGTGGCTCTTGGGTATGTGGAGGACTATCCATCCCATTACCCAATGACTTGATAGCGGGGTAGCAATCGACTAGTTGTGTAGATAAATAAAAAGATAAAATAAATTGAAAGTTCTCTCTGGTAGGATTATTAAAATTATTTTTTCTGAAAAAGGATTGATGAATAAATATATTTTGTGTATTATATATTTATTTATGCATAAACGAAGAACAGAGGTGACAGAGTGCAGTATCGCAAGATCCAAACTTAATAGCTACATGGTTAAAGATAAGTTAGCATAAAGATAGCACGAAAAAGACATCGCATGCAGACGACAAGTCGTAGACAGCTGATTAAAAAAAACTTGAGAGATTAGTGTGTACTGTGTAGTGAGGTTATGTTTAATTAATAATTATTATCATAGTTCAGCCAACAGGGGTCAAACCTAAGTTAGTTTCCCTAGTCTCGAGTTTGCGGATTTTTTTTTAATTTTCTCTTTTTTCATAGGTTAAAGTTTTTATAATTGCATAGCATGTCTCTTCGCCAAGTTTTTCTTATCGCAAGGCGATATGCGGGACACAGTAAATGGGCAAACATTAAGCACACAAAAGCTGAAAAAGACACTCAAAGATCTCTAATGTTCATTAAACTAGCCCATAGAATAAGACTTGCTATTCATGGTAAGTAACTTTGTCCTAGTTCTATTTCCAGAAGCTGTTAATGACCTCTGATATGTTTAGGCCTACCTCACTAAGTTAACTGTTTGTGCCTTCCAAACTTCTAAGGGCTTCTTATCGGGTCATTCGAATAAATGTAGGACTTAAAGTAAAGTGCAACCCTTCTAAGATTGTTTTTTGTTTGCCTAGGCTATGTAACTTATGATGCTAATTTTTGTGCTGTGTGCAGAATGAAGAAATTAAAACCCTTGGCTTTAAAAAAGGTAGAGAGAATGGATCCTCTCTATTTTTTATTCGATAGGCTACAACATTTCATAAAGTGCTAAGGAAAGATAGGTAGTTGATAAGACTGGTTGGCCTATCTAAACTAAAATAGGCCTATATTAAGATACAGGCCTTACTAAACAAAGCGGTACTAAATTATAGGCTACGTAAGCTTAGTGTTTTAATTTTCGACAAAACAAGTGCTCAGCTACCTACATTAATATTAGGGTCGTAACAAGGTAAACTTAAGGCTACACATTTCAAAAGTGTACTGTTACTTCTAACGAAAAACAATGGATAACTGAACAACATATGTACAAAATGTGATCGGCTTTGTTCCTGACCACTGGACCAAAACTCAAGAACCTTAGGACAGGCCGGCTGGTGTGAAAAGAAGGACTGGGAATAGTGTAACAGACAATAAACCCACGACGTTGCTAGCCAAAGTGAAACCAAGGTGAAAAACACTTAAGTATACAGAGTGCAGGAGGAAGGGTTGACGCTTTTAGTCATTTACATTATTTGTGAACACACTTTTCTTTTGGATGCATATTCAAAAAGTGCCTTTATTTGGTAACCTATATTTTAGTGGAAAAGTAAGCAAAGAGGAGATTTTTATTTTTTGCAAAAATCTCGCTGAGCTAAATTTTTTACTTCAAAATCCAGTAATCTCCGGGAAATCTGGTGATATGAATATTTAGCAGTACTTTATTTGCTTTAGTAATCATAAATTTTGTAGGCCTAATGTGTATTAATCACAAGTCTACATGATTTAATATTAGATTGCAGGTGCATTACCCGCCATAAAATCGTGAACATCTACTGGTCATGGAGACATAATTGTTTTTTGGGTTTGCGGTGGTATCCTGAACATCTCTTGGTACTGCGGTGAAATCGTGGACATTTCTTGCGGTCACAGAGTCATCATCATTGTCTCCTGGGCATTGTAAACACCTCACAGAAATCGCAAACCATCATCAACATAATCTGCTATGGTCTACTGAAGAGATCATGAACATATCCCGATCATTGTTTCCCACATAGAGGAAAGATTGTGACTATGTACAACGATCTCGGCGCCATTGTAAACACTCATGCTCCCGGCGCTTTCCTCTTTCCTGAAAATCTTTCATGAATACTGAGACATAATCATCGTCTCCTAGGATTGCGGCACCATCATGGATATACCTCAAGATTTCAACGATTTCGTGCAAATCTCCTGCAGTTGCGGAGACAGTATTGATGTTACTCAAGACTAAGAAAACAAATAATCCCGAATCCCACCCTATATGGGAACATATTTTTCTTGAAAATATCCCAAAAATTCAGGGCACGTCTATGCTTAGTTAAAATCCTTAAAATACTGTGGGATGGTTCATAATCAATTTTGCAAAAAAAAAAAAAACTTATAGCATTGTATCATAGAACGTTTTAGGTTAAAGAATACTTATCAGACTATGGAAACTAATGTATTTTTTAAATACATTTCCAAATGTTCTTGTGTTACAGAGGCTTAAGGTGTTTGAATAACATGACATTTTTAATTTTAAATACATTGTTTGTAGGCCTACTAAGAGATCTACAATCAAGGTAGGCCTAATATCGAGAAACGTTCTACCAAGATATTTCGTTGTCCATTAAAAAAAAAACTACATACTTTTTTTGCGAAACAAAGATGTACTTTTGATACCTTTGTAATTAAAATTTACTTTTTTTAGAAAATGGCAACAATGCCAATCCCACTCTGAACCAGCAATTAGCAAGTGCAATTGATTATGCAAAATCCAAGGACATGCCAGCATCTACCATTCAAAACATTCTTAAAACAGCTGCGGTAAGTAGCCTATTACCATTATATTTTACCATACTCCCTTAGTAGATTTCTTATCCTTATGGATCAGCTAAAGAAAATTAGAGCTTGTGTTCTGTTTACAATTTTTTTCTTGTAATTTCAGTCATTTAAAAACTCATTTAACCAAATAAAACAATATAATCGTAAACAATAACTTGTCCCCCAATAACAGTAGGCCCCTAAAGCACAAATCGTGAAATTAACTCTAAAGGTAAAATAATAGAAACAATTTCGTCGACAATAGGGATCAGTGTCACATGAACTAAACGAAAAACGAGCTTCAAAATTAACAATGGGATAAGAAGTCTACATTTGTTGGTTAGTCTGTGCTGTTGCCTTTGCAATGTTGTGGAGACTCTAGTATAAGAGAGTCTTGTGTAATTTGACATTTCCTGTAATTTGGAATTATTTCAGCTATGTGTACCTATGTGATATTTAATTATACTTGGCTATTTTCAGTCATACAAATAATACACTGTTTTTATTTTTGTATGACATTTTACAACATGTCCGGCTGATCAGGACAATTCGATAATCCGACCAGTGTCTAGTTTCAGTTAGTTTGGATGAAGCCTCTTCCTTTGAAAGCTTCTCTTCTTCCACTTACTGCTGTTGCTTGTATCCCTTTCATCCTGTATAATGTATTTCCATTTCTATGGTGTTTAAGGATAAGGATGCAGTTCAACCATTTAAATACAGTATAAGAGGACCAAGGGGAAGTGTTCTCCTAGTTACAGCTTTGACCAACTCATATGGAAAAACCAAAGGAGATATTCAAATGCAACTAAAAAGAGTGGGGTAAGACAAATGCTGAACATTATACAACTTATAGCTAGGGTATACAAGTTTGGTGTGTTAGTGTCATAAACTAAAGTCTCTTTAGTCTAAGTTAAATTATTGACCTAAAATTAATCTATGAACTATCTGTGTAACCCTCAATTTGTGTCAAGTTAAACAAATGACAAGTGGAAGGATGACAAAAGTTCTAGGGGAATCCAGTTTATCGTATTAGGATGATTTACCAAGGCGCTACCTAGTAAATAACTTTTTTGGGTATTTATTTTTGAAAAGCCAAAACACCTTTATAGTAAGGACAGCGTTATTTTTTACCTGAAATTGGACTCTATTAAAAATTGGGCCTACAGGTAGTTAATTTCCAAGCTCATAGAATTATCTGAGAATAGTAGACCCTAGTCAATACTGTACTATGTAGTCCCAGTCCGCAATCCGCACATTGTTTTACTGATTGAATTTAGAGAAAAATCAAATTCTTTTAATGAAAAATGTGTTTTAGCGAATTTCCCATATAGGGAATATTATTTGCTTACAAAGCTGTTTAAAGAATTGTTTGTTAAATTAAAAAATGTCGTGTTTTGGCCAATTAATGTATAATGTTTTGTGTTTGTGTACATGTTATTTGTGAACTCTTAACCTTATGACGACCATTTCATGGAATAAATCAACATAACTTTTGATCTCGACCTGAAGATGTGTTAATTTTAACACGAAACAGCTGTAGTCAAAAAACTACAATCTAGGATCACTTGACAGATACAGGTAATTTAAATCTTTTGTGTAAGACTAACCTGTTTCAGATTCTATTTACCTAATGATCTTCTAAAGTGTTACCAATCAAAATGTTATTTTTGTTCAGGGGTTTGTTATCAGATCAATCTTTAGAAAGTCAATTTGATAAGAAAGGTATTGTAATTGCAATGCCTCCACCTAAAATGGAGAATATCGAAGAATCGAGTGTAGAACATGCAATTGAAGCTGGTGCTGAAGAAGTCTCGCCTATAGACGAAAACAATAAATTAACTGTGAGTGTTAACATACTTTCAAGTACATTGCTATCTTGTTTAGAAACAGATTTTACAGTTTGGTATTGGTTGCTCGGTCTGTGAGATGGACCCACAGTAGCCACCTTTTTGTTTTAACATCTCTCTGTCTGAGATACTAATTCCTGGCTAAAAATAGTTCAAAACCACTAGAACTTAATAAAAAATTAAAAGATAAGATAAATTAAAAACCATCCAATATATGTTTGAGATACAAAACACAGCAATAACATGTGTGAATACAAAATGAGGCTAGTTGATATTTTGTGACTTTTTTTAGTTGCAATGGAGGATGGTTTGCCATACACAAGTAGCTTTCCAAACTGGTTGACACACACTGGAGTCTTTGGGTGTTGTCAGAATTATAAATTTGTGATGTCATGTGATGGTCCTAACCTAAAAGGGATTGGTACCGTCAACTACATTTTTACAGCAGCACCTCAAAGCCCATTGATTTTGCTTTTTTACTAATAATTATTTAGCTAGCCCTTGAAGTAGTTTTTTTTATAAGTAGGAGGTAAGGTTAGGTTGGGTTATGTTAATTTAGCCCTTGGGGTTTTCAAACAGAATAATAAGACGGCAATGGCATTACTTCCTAGAAAGTAGGCTTACTTCAATGTTTGGGATTTGAATCTTTAAATTTTTATTGCATCTTTAAGCATTTGAGTCCCAAGACTCCTGTTTCTCCCGTCTAAGGCTGCGGCTCCACTTGCCGTAAATTGTCGCGCTGCAAATTGTAGCGCGCTACACGCTACAGTTGGTGGCTCCACTAGCAGCAGAGTACAAACTACAATCTGCAGCGTCCTCAGATGCATCGTGGCTCCACTAGAAGTTAAGTGTAGCGCCACAGAAAACGTACTACTATAACCCAGAATGCCAACCGCATGGTAAATAAACGGTATCAGCATTCTGACACATACTTTCTCCCATAAGTTTGTCAACTACCTTTATCATGTGTAAGCGGTGAGAGTAAATATACGGAAATGGAATTTGTACAATTTTGTTCAGAATTTAAAGGACTATAACATACTAAATTTTTATCAAACTCGTTTAAACTTTTAAATTTTTATCAAAATTGTTCGGGCCATTTTTGGAAAAATCAGATTTTTCCGTTATTTTATGGGGTTTTTATGGGAAAATAACATAATTTAAAATAACTTTTAAACCGTAATTTTTACAGAAATGGGATTTGCACAATTTTTTCAGAATATAAAGGACTATAACATACTAAATGTTTTATCAAAATCGTTCGGGCCGTTTTTGGGAAAATTCTATTTTTCCGTTATTTTATGGGAAAATCCCCATTAAAAATCCAAATTTCTAAAAAATTGAAAAAACTATCAAAATTGTAAGGACCATAACATACTATGTTGAATAAAAACAGGATTTTTTTCTAAAATCCTATTTTTCGTTATTTTATGGGGTTTTTATGGGAAAATAACATAATTTACCATAACTTTTGAACCGTAATTTTTAGAGAAATGGGGTTTTCACCAGTTTGTTCAGAATTTAAAGGGCTACAACATACTAAATTTATATCAAAATCGTTCGGGCCATTTTTGAGAAAATTCGATTTTTCCGGTTTTTTATGGGTTTTTATGGGAAAATCCCCATTAAAAATCAAAATTTCAAAAAAATGAAAAAAACGCCTGGAGATACCATGGATTAGAACCTACATACCAAATTTCATCGAAATCGGACCACAGTTGTAGTCTCTAGGTCTGTACACATCCAGACACACAGACACACACACACACACACACACACACACACACACACACACAGACATCACTTCGAAAACCACTTTTTTGGGTCCAGGGGGACCCAAAACGAATATATCCACTCAAAACTCAAACTCGAAAATTTTGACGAAAACAATACTTTCTCCATATACTATGGTATAGGGGGAGAAAGTAAAAGCATTAAGCGTTTTGAGAGAGCTTTGCTTGTCAAAACGCTTAATGCTTTTTACCATGCGGTTGGCATTCTGGGTTATAGTAGTACGTTTTCTGTGGTAGCGCGGAGGTAAACGTGGCCCTGGATCATGCCTCAAATTAACATTCGTAGTGTTGTTATCAGTGTACTTTATCAAGACGACGCCAATCACAGCAGGAAAATGGTGGATCCATCCAATATTATGCAACGTAAAGTCCGAAGGGATGTTCCACACAGCATACTGAAAGTATTCAGACAAGTTTTTTGAATATTATCGAATGTCCCAAAACTCGTTTGATTACTTAATAGAATCAGTATCAACACGTTTTAAGAAGGATACCAAACTAAGAGAAGCAATTGGAGTATAGGAAAGGTTTTCCCAGTGACATTAAGGTAATTTTAGTGTACTGAATTTTAACTAATTAATTTTATTCAACCTCAGAAGTAATATTTCTAAGTAACCAATGTAAGGTGAATATCAATATGAGTTTCGTGAGTTTTTTTATTATAGGGATAATTATAACAATTGTACGACTGTTGCACTTAAAAACAAATTGAATGTTTTCACGTATTTGTTTCTCCAATCATTCTACTGTTTTACTTTATAATATAAAGTAGGAAACCCCTACACAACCTCTATAAAACAAGATTCCCACACTCCCGATGTAATAATTTAATAATTTCTAATATAAAAACTTCACAGTCCAGTTCAGGCTCCATTGATTACAAATCAATCCACAAAAATAAAAATAAAACTAAAGACACTAAAAAGTGTATTGTCCATGTATGCCTGTCGGCTGTACGTACACTGACTTGGCGCGGCACTACAATCTACAGCTAGTGGAGCCACCTGTTGGCTGCAAAATGTAGCGCGAAAATGGTCCGAGTTCCATTCCCGCGCGACGCTACATTCTACGGCGCGCTGTAAAATGTAGCGCGCTGCAGACTGTCGCTAGTGGAGCCACCTTCGTTTGATCGCTGCATTCCCATTTCCTCAACTGACGAGCTACAATTTGCAGCGCGGCAATCTACGGCAAGTGGAGCCGCGGCCTAAACCATGCAAAGTCTGAACCAAAGGGATCCTTAAGAGAGAAAGTCTAAATTACAATAGTTGTAGTTACTGTTGATAGAACTAGAAGTTTGTCAACCTCAAAACTTTCTAGTGTTACTAAATAACAAACCATAAATAATCAAAAATTCATAAACTTGGCACAGCTAAGAGATGTCTTGTCTTCCATTGAACCAATTTTCTAATAATTTAATTACTGTTTGCACACTTCCTCATCTCCATCAAATTCCTAATTCCTCACGTTTCACAACCTTTGCACTATTTAAGTAAATAATATTGGTTTTGATTACAGTTCACCTGCGAAGCGATAGAACTGCACAGAGTCATGACCAAGCTACAAGAACTCAACTATAACGTAGAAGATTCAAAAATCACCTTTGTGCCCAAAATGAAAGTGAATTTGAACAAAGATGAAATGGAACTGATGAGTAACATTGTAGCGAGACTAGAAAAAATTTCAGAAGTTAATGAAATCCACGATAATATTGAGTGAAAATTGTAACTTGTAGTAATTTTATCAAAGTAATGTACTGTACATCAAGGCAAAGACAGATTAATTGGAATCATACAATGACATTAACCATACAGGACCTTGTCTAACCTATCTAACCTTGTCTAAATCTTTCTGAAATATTTATCATCTATGAATAATTCAGTTGGTAGCCTGCACGGAAATATGTTTCTAAAAGTTCAACTGCCTTCCAAATCCCTTACCATCAGTCTTTCTCTTTTCTCTGCTCATCCATTAACTCAAGTCAATACAGATCAACAATTGAATAATTCATCTATGATGAGTATTTTTTTGAAAAGTAATAGAGTTCAGCTATCTTAGATGAGAAGATGGGAGTCCAGGGGCTTTTTCTCTTCAACCTAACTCTCTGAATAATCCTTTACTAGGGTGAAATCTCAGTGTTTTGTAATCCCTAAATGTGTATAGATTGGTCCCTAAACTCTACCTCTTTCAAATAATCCTAATCTATCTGATTTTTAGTTGTGAACTGTAATACTCGTTAGTGTCAGATTTTGGGAACTTGTGTCCGAGGCCAAATAAGCCCTAGCAGGCCCTGCCTCTTATTTGGAGCTTCCTTTCAACCCTAGTGAAACTGTGAACATCCCTCGCGATCACGGGGACATAATTATCGTCATCAGTCGTGGAAAATTCTTAATTTTAGAATATAACTCTTTTTTTTTCATAAATTTATTCATAAAATAATGATGCCCTCTTTTACTAATGTGGTAAATACGACACTGATACTGGCTGTTATTCCTCAAAAGTGTATGAAGTAAAATAGTTTCATTTCTCAGCTGACAAATAATGAAATTAAATGCAGCTGACCGCAAGCCATATGTTCACCTCTTGATAAAAAATAGTCTGGTCGCCTTGGTTGTATCTTGCTTCTCAAGGGGTAAAAATCAGGACAACATAAAGAAAGCAATCTCTCTCTGCTTTCCAACTTGAAAGCAAATGTTAACTATCAAGAAGTCGTCCATTGACAAGAAGTCGTCCATTGACGTACGTGGAAACTGCAAATAGACTTCCCTTTTTTGTAAAATCTAAAATGTGGTTTATTTGTTTCATCTCCGGTCATATTTTAATGCACTCATGTTGACGAAAGGTTTTTCACTCGTTTTAGGGTAAATACACCAGTGTTTTAGGCCTTCTCTTTGATATAATGAGGACAAGCAATATTTCATAAGTAGAATGTTTTTTTTTTTTTTTTTTTTAAAACCTTGCAGCTATTACATAAGCTACAAGAAATAATAGTAATAAACGTGATAACATTGTATTAAACTGGACAGAAAAATCCTTAAAATTTTCCTGAGCTTACTAAAAAAATATAAATAACTAAAATGGGAATGTTACTTACTGGAGACGGCTTCTATCATACATGTGTCATTCAAATTACTTAACTTAAAATGTCAACTGATGTTTCTTAAATTACTTGCAGGAAATAAACTGATTCCTTCCACCTTGTTTGTTTATATACATTAATGAGTTTTGTCATTATATGCTAGAGATAAAAATTCTCTTTTGGTAATTTGATAATAAAGCTGAAAATGTGCTCTGAAATATTTTTACTCTTTGGTGGCAACTGAGTGTGATTATTAAAATAGTAACTTACATCCTTGTTAAGACCGACTATCTGGAACCAGGGCCGATGTGACTTCATGAAAATCTGTGTCAAATGGAGAAAGAGTAGAAAAAAAATTCAAAATATACTTACAATATTTTTTTTACTACAGAGAAAAACACAAACGAGCATGCAGATAAATGCTTTATTCCTATTTTCTACCAGTAACTTTGCATAGTGAATGACAAACAAAAATTCTCAGCTTTATTATCTTTATAGGATTAGGTACTATGTAGGGTACTTGTGTGTGATAAAAAAAACCTTTGTGTAATAATTACGCACTGGCTAGAAAATTGGAGAACAAAACAGGAAATCATTGTAATATAACTTTTACCATGTAAATTCATTGGCAAAATTAAGTTGTCGTTTCAATTTGTTAATAAACATATTTTGTTATAAACTGATGTTTTTGAATGACCCTTACATTTAATCTAGCTTACTTTAGATTTCCTCAGCAAATGACAGATTTTTTATTATAAAATCTGACATCTATTTGGATGTGATTGAGTCTTGTTAAGCTTGAGTGTACTATTGATAAAAACTTCCTTTATTTGGTGAAACAATTTGATTTTACAGTTAGTTAGTCCAAGTCCAAGTCTATATGACTGTGGCGACTAGCGCCACGTATTCCAAAGCAGATAAAAACCACAAAGGGAAATTATTAAAAGTTTTCTTGCATATTGAATACAACAGGTTAGTTACTTATGTTGACTTAGTCTATACAAAATTTAAAATTAAAACTTGTTCTAGTGATGAATTGAATCAGCACTACTAAAATATGTACACCACCGATCTTTGCCACTCAAAATTCATTTATAAATGCTGGCAATATTGTTTGGCGACTCCAAAATAAAAACTGTAAAAATCCTCAAGTCAGAAAGAAAAGTAATACATCACCACTTAAGCCTTGGCATTGACTATATAACCCTAGTGTTTATATAGTCAATGGCATGGGTATCTTCAATAATGAACACATGAACACACTGATCAGCCTTTCTTAAAGAATTTTTGATTTTAACTTCATGGTTATTTTGAGGAAGAAAAAAATCAAAGACAAGAAAAATGTAAAGTATAATTTATATATATATATATTTTTACAATTGCAATGCCTCATAGAACATCTTCAAATACTCTTTTATCTGAAATTTACATTGATGTATAAACAATAAAAATTGCACACTATTTAACATCGATAACATTGAAATTTCATCACAGATTTATTATTAAAAAAGAAGATAACAAAATTTCCTAACTAAAGTACAATAAACAAATAATTATTTACAAAGGATATAACAAATCGCTATGTAAAATAAAACCAAAAATATAAAAACTACATTTTATAGTATGGAAGAATTTTTTATCCATACAATTAATTGGTATAGGCCTAGTCTTGAATCTGATAATTTTAGAACTCATTGTATAAATATTTGATTCGTAGATGCCAACATTAATTTCACTCTTGCAACCGAAACCCTCATGACACAAAGCAGATACAACATAAAAATACTATGATAAAATAATCTCACTAGGAAACATTTACTTACAAAAGAAATACATAACAACATTTAACAGTTTCTTTCTTAAGTTCAATAATCTCTAGCCCTGAGAGCAACCCTCGCGTCTCCAAACTGTCGTAAGATAAAACATCACAGTACATAAACAATCGTAAATACACATAAACTAGCCGAGCGCAGAATAACATGTCATGACACAAGTTCAAGGAAATCACAACTTTCATTACGTAGAATGGAAAAAGCAGCTACCAAAATAGATTCATATATACATAAATATATACATTTCTGAAAGCAAACTAAAATCATCGCTTATTTACAATACTTTACATATCTACATCCGTTCTATAATTTACAATGAAAAGTTTTTATAAAATGTTAAACACTATTTAAACTATACATTAAAACTAAATAACAACTCGAGTTTGGCTATTAGGACAATTGCACTAACTTCGCACCATTTTATTTAAGGCTATAAAATCAATATTAATAAAAATATTTGTTCCTTATACACTTCCAATGTCTTTAGTAATAGGGAACAATATGCTCACTGAATACATTTTAGTTGATGCAACCTAATCTTATTGTTCTTAGTACAAACCAAGTATGGATTTACAAATTAGCAATTTAAACATTATGTTAAAAAAGTATGTTTGAAATAAGAAACCAATACAAATTGAAATGCAAAGCTTGAATTTTAGTTGCAGCATTTTAAACTGTGATTTTAAAGTAATGATTAAAAATGTTACACTAACTTATAATTCACAATTAAATTCATATTTATGATCCTTAAACAGGAAACTATCAGTCGTAAACGTACAATTACAAGCCACATAACACTAGGGACTATATCACTCAGTATTCACCCGTCATCAGCTTATAGTTAAGGTCACCGCGTTATAATTGTCTTTTCTGAGTTGAGCAGTGCCCGAACTCGTTCCGAGTATTTGACGAGAGTTACTTTGTGCGCTTTTGGGTTGAGGATGAAGTCTCCGACACCGAGAATGCTACAGCAGCGTGCCATGTCGTAGAACTCTGTCATCTTGAGGTCGCGGAAGTCTCCTCGGTGGTTGGGTCCCAGCTGTTTGAGCAATGCCTCGCGTGTCTTGACACGCAGCACGGGACAAAGTTCCTGGAACAGGACCCAGCGGTCGGAGAGCGGCTCCCCCAGCAGCTGGTAGAGATGCGGCAGACCCAGCTCTGCCTCCTCGACCTCCGTCTCCAGCTCTGCGGGCTCAGGCGACGGCGGACCTTCCAGGGGGTTGTTGCCCAGCAATGTAGCATCTGTAATAGAAAAATGTGTTAAAACTCACATCTCATCTGTCTTACACAACTTTCACCAGAATCAACAAAATATAAAACATTTAGCACTAAGGGCTAACAAACCAGAAAGAACACAATATAATGAAAACATAATAATCCTGACAATCACAGACAGTTGTCAAAAGTTACTATTTACAATAGAGAGTATAGTAATTCTGTAACCTAAATGTTTTTGTTTGCCTGTGATGCTATCAAAACTCAAGAAACACGTTGACCTTTAAACAATGGCGTTGGTATTTCATAACAAAAGTAGAAACAGAAAGTAATTTAGAGATTTTTCAAGCACTTTAATATGGTTGAGAATAGGTATAGACCCACTTTCACTTGTGTTTTGAACGTTACTTTTTGCTACACTACAAAGACTAACTACGAGGGTCGTCTCAAAAGTAAGTTACACATTTGTTTTAAATCACAGCATCGAGCGCTAGAAAGCTGGGAGTCGCGGGGAATTTTCGTGTGGATGTAGTGGCAACACTGTAAAAATGGCCGCCTACGGCACTCGCCCCTCCAGTATCGCTCCGGCCATCATGGAGACACCACTTGTTCCCACCGCCGATTGTTAAATCTGTGCAGTAATTAGATTTTTGACTGCAAAGAATAAAAATGCAAGTGAAATTCATTGAGAATTGTGCAGTGTTTATGGTGAAAATGTGATGTCTAGGCCACTGGTTTCCCGCTGACGTCAATCGTTTATTGATGGACGAATATCGTTACACGATGAACAGCGAAGTGGCCGCCCGTCCACTTCCCACGCTTTGACTGTTGTTGAAGATGTCCGCAAGGTCATTGACACCGACCGGCGCTTGACATTGGATGAAATCATTACACAGCTTCCTCCAAATGTTGAAATTAGTTGTGCGTCGCTTCACAGAATCATTTAGGACGATTTCAGTTTGTCAAAAGTCTGTGCAAGATGGGTGCCACGCCTTCTTTCAGAAAGGCATAAGGAGCAGAGGGTTGATGCTGCTCTCCAGTTCCAACAATTTTTTGATGATGAGGGAGATGGCCTATTCAACAGGATAGTAACCGAGGACGAGACTTGGGTGCACATTTGGACGCCCGAAAGCAAGTGGCAGAGCATGGTGTGGAAGGGAAAAGACGAGTCTACTCCAAAACAGGCAAAAGTCGTCTAATCAGCTGGCAAGGTCATGGCAACGATCTTTTGGGACTCTAAGTGAGTATTGTTGATTGATTACCTGCCAAGGGGGGAAACAATTACAGCTGAACGTTATTGTGAAGTGCTACGTAAGCTGAGAAGGGCGATACAGAACAAAAGGAGGGGAAAGTGACCAAAACAGTGTTTTTGTTTCACGACAATGCTCGCCCACACACCGCCAGTCAAACACAAGACCTTCTGGAATCCTTCCGATGGGATGTTTTCGGGCATCCACCTTACTCTCCTGACTTGGCGCCGAGTGATTTTCTTTCATCTCTTCCCGGAGTTGAAGCGGCATTTAGGCGGGAAGCGCTTCGAAAACGAAGACGAACTGAAACGGGAGGTGGAACAATGGCTAACCAAAATGGCGGCAGACTGGCATGATGCTGGACTAAAAAAACTGTTGCCAGGTTATCAAAAATGCCTTGAAAAAGATGGTGACTACATAGAAAAATAGTCTATGTATGTATCTTTTAAAATATACCCTTTTTAAATCAAATTAGGCTTTTTTATTTATTTTGGAAATAGGAGTAACTTGCTTTTGAGATGACCATTGTATTTTCTTGAAAATATTCAAGAGTTTTGTAATAACAAAACTCATACCATTTTTCAGGGTTTAACTTCAATTTTTAAGTAAATATTTACTTTGGTTGTACATTTTTAATTGTTGAAAATTAAAACAATTGACAAAACAATAACAAATCTTTGTTTGTTCAAGTCCGCAAAATCCAAAAAAGATAGTTAACATTACTTTAGCATAGTAACATTTTTTTGCCATAGTAAACAATGTAATGATGAATTTTCACAGGTTATAAACATGTAACGAAAACAGGTCATTTCACAGTAGTGTAGCAGTAATACAGTAGTGTAATAAACATTACACTCCTCTACAAAGAGACACTGCTAAAACCATCACTTATATTAGTAGTTTATTGTGTTTTGTCCAATAATAACAGGCCCTAGCATATATCCAATCATCTGGCACATTCAATGATTCCGCTTAAGCCAAATTTTGGCACTCAATAAGGTGTTTGGCCAAGTTCGACTTCATCAGCACTGGCGTTAAACATGTTTGTGATTGGTTAAACTGCTCTATTTAGGCGGTATTCCCATCTTAAAAACTACAGCAACTTTTACAAAACCCTAAATAATTTTCTATTTTCTTTAACGCGGAATCACCGCAGTCTAAAACTGGCCCAATAAGCGAGTGTCTACAATTCAACTTATATGTAAACTGATTTAAGATGGGTTGTGACAAGTCAACGCTTGCAAGAGGAAGCAACTTAAGAACAAATGATATGCCCCTTTGTCTTGCAAGCGACTCAAGCAAGAAAAGTAGAAGCTGAGTGGTTATGATCGCCTGGTGGTAGTATGAGGGCCGTTAGTTTGATCCTGTAAAAAGTCAGAAGCTCTATGGCCAGCTGATCTTAGTCATCAACACCACCAAGCTTAATTCCATCTCATTCGTTCAACCCTGTCTCACTCATCCTCCCTGGTGTGTTGTGATGTGACTCACCAGTAAGTTGTATCTGCCACGGAGGCGCCACCTGTCCTTGCACATCGGCCAGGTGGTGTTGCAGCAGAAGTCTCGCATCTGGATGATTGTAAGTCAGAGAGATCGGAGTCAGCCCAGAGTATGTGGCCAGTAGAGGGTCTCCTCCGTACGACAACAACAACCGGATCAACTCCAAGTTACCGTTCTCCGCGGCCTCGTGGAGTGGCCTGCAACATAATAATTCAATATGAATTTACATTCCTGGATACAACTTATATTTTAGCATATTTTGTGAGGATAGCAAGCTTACCTGAATGAGAAGAGCCCGATGAAGCCTATTAGAAGAAACACAAAACTTTACATTGTAAAAGAATATTCTACTGTCACAGCATTTTTAACCAAGGAAGGTTGGGGAGAGAGTGCGGCATTTTACAGTTGTCAGCTCTTCCAGTTAATTCTTCAATTCCAAGAAGACAACTTTCTCTCTCTTTCTTTCAAATCAGATCGTTGTAAGGCAACAAAGAGCAGAAAGTATCCACATTTGTTCATCTAAAACTAATGATAAGCTATTGCTAGTACCAGTTGGGCTTAGCATCACAACTGATATCAGTTTTTAATCATCATGACATTTTCTCCTCACCTGATGCCTCCCTGTGCACTGTCGCTGACGTCAGCCCCGTACAGCAGTAGCAGCCTCGCTATGTCTAGCCTACCCTTGGAGCAAGCCTCATGTAGCGGAGTGTACCCTGCGTTGTCCCGAGGTGAGGGGTTGTGATCCATCTTCTCTAGACAGTACGCTGCAATGTCCTGTTACCAACACAACAATCAATCAGTCAAAGAAAACCACCCAAAAATAATAACAATTTAACCTTAATCCAAAAATCCATCAGCACCCAAGGGTGGGTACAAAAATTATTCAGAGAAAAATTAATGAGACTCGCAATATTAAATCTTTGACAGCTGTCCAAAAAGTAATATATGTAAGACATGCTCTTGAGATTTTAATTGCTTGCTCACAGGTCTCATCAATAAGAAAAGTAATTTTTGTTGTCACCAGTATTGAGTTAGATGAAAACTGAAAACTACCATCGTTATCTCAATAGCAGTTCATATCAGGCATATTTCACCCCCTTTATGCTATAGGGACTCTCACAAGGACAATGTAGTTATCGGTTAAAGTATTAGTGTCCCTGAGGGCTACTCTTAGTGTTTAATTTAGTATGCAGAAATGACAGCGGATTAATGCGCCAGTAGAGTTCAAAGGCTTTAAATTATTTATAATCTGGGCCCTCCTACAATCCGGCTAAATACTATTTCTGAGAAAGAAATTGAGGTTTTACTAATACAATATTCCAAGTGACCACTCACCGTATAGCCCAGTCTTGCCGCTCTGTGCAGAATTGTCTCTCCTAATCCTTTGTTGATCACCCATCCTTTTATTTCATTTTGGATGTCTTCTTCAGACTCAAGATTTTGTTTGAGTGCTATAGTCTGTTAACACAAATTTAAAATCACTTAGAAATTGAATTGTAAAATAACTTTAAATGTGTCTTGAGAGTATATTTCTATTTGATAACAATATAATGTTTAAGCTATTCAAATCTCCACGACTTTTGGTTAATACTTAAATCTTTAGATCAATGGCCCACTGAAGCATGGTGGATATTGACATAAACTAATATTTTACACCCAAAAATATTTTTTTGTTGGAAACCACTTTTACTTTTACAGTATAGCCTATTCCCTCTTTTACAGACTAAACCAACATCCCCTAAAATTATATTTTCCCATTTATCTTTTATCCATGCGTTCAAGGGCATTAAGCGTTTGTTCAACCGTCACAACTTTACACCTATATTTGTCAATCATTATCAAACACACTAATAATATATGGGGAATCATGTTAACATCATAAACACTTAAACAGCAGTATTTACTGGACAATATACGGTAATATAATGAGCTTTAACGTTCGGTACAAACGTTCAACAACCACAATTGAAAGTACGTTCTGAATTAACGCGACCAACAACACCGTGCATGACACAGTATCATTCAAAAACTAAAACGAATAAATCCCACAAGAAAAGTCGTTTCAGTACAGCACACTTACTGCCGATTCATTCCGGTTAAATCGATAGGCTGATAAAAGTTGTCCGGTTAAAGAGATGCAACTACTGCAGAGTGTAGTCCGGTTAAAAGGTGTCCGGATAAGAGGCAGTCTACTGTACAACGAGTTCCAGTCAAGGATTTATTCTGGTAGTGTATTTATGGGTTGCAAATATCAAATCAGACCACATTAAGTACTTAGTTTTACAGAATAAGGTCATTTTCTTACCTTTGTCTTCTTTTCCTTCACCGAGTCAGTATCTCCATCTTTCTTTTGCTGTTGCTTCTTCTTTTTCCTAATGTAGTCAAAACCAGATGATTTCAGTTTCCTTCTTACTGTTCGTAATTTTAATCTTTTCTCACTCACAAGAACAGGCACTTCATCTTGAAGAGATATTTCACTAGGCTCACTTTTAATCGTAACCTCGTCCTCAGGTTCCTCCTTGATTTTTGTCTCTTGCCGGGGTTTTTTATTCGTTTTGAAAGCTTTGATTAGATCTTTACTCCTCTTCCTCCTTTCCCCTCCTTGAAGTAGTTGCTGTTTTGACTTCAAGACGGCTTTGTTACTTCTAAGCACTGCAGCACTCCTAAGCCCAGGCCTGGTTCCACTTGTACTGTTTCGTTTATTGAGAAGTGCTTTACACTTCTTCTCAGTCTTTTTAGTCTTCTTCTCCTCCACTGTTTTGTCATTTTCTTCATTGTCTTCTCGACATCCTGCAGGTGGTGCTGAGGCAGGTCTGTCTTCACCGAACACTTCTCTGATTGTCGCTCGCTGTGTTAGAATTCTCGTCTGCGTTCTAGTTCTAGACTTGAGCATTATCGGAGGTAGCTCGTGCTCGGTTGCAAATCCGCCGTTGTGTTTTGCAAAAACGTTGCTGAAATCAGCGACTGTCTTCTTGCGGAAGTATCCCAAAAATATTGACTCCTTGATCTCACTATCAACTGGTTTATCCTCGTCTTTAGACAGTTTTTTACCTTTAGACTGTTTAGATTGTGCTTCTGTCTTTTTCAAAGGTGATGACTTAACGATACAATCCAAACTCGGGGTTGGTAGTAACTGGAGTTCGTTACTTTGAGGAATTATTTTGGGACCTTTCCTTTCCTTGGAGCTGTCTTTCTCCACACCTTTCCTTAATGACTTTTTACCCTTTCCACCATAACGCTGTATTAACCTGTTGAGGAAAGAATCTTCCTCGCCTTCCTTTACTGCTTTTTCTTCTCCTTTCTTTTGGGATTTTGTTTTAATTGAGACGGGAGATTTTGATTTTCTAGGTGTTGATTCACCATCACTTTCCAACTTCTTAGTTTGCATTGATATTTCAGAGTCCAAAGTCATTGGAGAGTCAGGGTCTAGATCTGGCAGAGACACTGACAGCTTGGGACTTGGCCAGCTTTGCGGACCTGCAATATTTATCAGACTTGTAGGCATTCTCAGGGATCTCTTGTAGCGATAAACTTCAGCTTCCCACCCAGGTCTAAATTCTGAACCATCTCCAAAAAATGATTTTTTCTTCTCCTCCTTATCTTTCTTCCTCCTTCCACCTTTCTGCGGAGTAGATCTGTCCAGAGAATTTTCTTTTTCACTGGTTTCCTTTTCTTTGGTGTCTTTTTCTTTCGATCTAGTTTTCCTTTTAGTTCCCTTTACAGATTCTTCTTTGGGTTTTCTCATTCTCAGTCGTTTAGCGACAGATTCACAATTTTCATCGCTACTAGATTCCGCTTCACTATCACTAAGATCTTTTTTGGTAAGTTTCTGTTTTGGACCATCACTTTTTATTTTGTCCGTTTTATCTGTCAATGAAGAAGTTTTGTCATTTTCGGAGTCTTTTGTAACAATGCAGTCATTTTCTGAACTATTTTCTAATTTTACAAAAGATTTTTTCAGTTCAAATTGTCTTAAAGCCAAAGGAGCATCTTCATCTGAAGATTCATCTTCAATTTTAATCTTTTGGACGGGTGGTGGTAAACTTTTTTCTTCGACTGCAGTATTTTCCTCTATTCTTTCTTCCAGCTCTTCGTCTTCTATTATTTCTAATTTTATATTCTTAACTTCCAATTGATCCTGCTTGGTGACAGTACTAGAAGGTTCTTCCGACTTTGGAACAAGGGATGATTCTTCTTCCTTTGTAGTGGCAGCAGGTTCTGGTTTGATACTGACTGAGGAAGGTTCCGGCTTGATGTCATAAAACGCCCTAAGCGCATCCTCTGTTGTTTCAAACATCCCAAATTCTTCAACAGGTTCAGCTTTTTTCTTTCTTCCTCGCTTCCTAACTTTGTTTCCACCTTTTTCTAACTGCGTCACAAACTGATCGCACATTCCACTCCAGAATGTGTCATCGATGGGCTCACTGTCACAGACCTGCAAAACAAATCATCATCATCATTATTATTATCTAAAACCTATCCCCACTTTTCAAAGTATTTAGTTATTGATTTGAATGAAGCTTAGTAAGTTTTTGTTACTCAACGTATTTGTAATTAAACGCCTAAGGTACAGTGAAAATTCATTGCATCTTTTAGTTTCTACATTGTATACAAACATTAAACATTATATCAACTGAGTCACTGGTAAGACTCCCACCAATCACCCACCTTCTGAGATCACAACTTTGAACAATCAACTGTAAGTAACACAAAAACTCCGTTCACACAATTTATGTGGTTTGAGGGGAAGTGATTTCATCCCACATTTCATTCACATTTTTATTGTTATTGTAATTTTCTATATTTGATGTAAAATGTTTTTTTCCATTGTATTTTATTATTAAGATTTATGTAATTGACAAGACACCAGTTACTGCTTTAAGCACCTAATGTAACGTTATTTGTGTCAATAAATTGATTTGATTTGATTCCCCTCCATCTCACCCTAACATTGAAACTACAGCCGACAGCTGATCAGCTGATGTCTACATTTGGGGGAAACCAGGAAACGTTTCCTTTAACAGCCTAAACTTTGTGAACGGACTATAATTGACGTCTTGTGGGTTTGTTTTTGGAGGAGAGAAAAATAAGCAAATTGCTTCTTCTATCACCAAAAGCAAAGGAATGTTCCTGACTAGTATTGCAAAGTAACAATATTTCCCATCTCTAGCAGACAAGTAACATACCTGAGGCACCTCAGGTGAGGTCTGGTGTCTCTCTTGTAGTCTCCTGTCTCTGTCTTTGCGCATGTCCGTCAGACTCTGCCTCTCCGAGCCCAACTCTCCCTCGGAGTCAGACTCTCGGAAGTCAAAAACGGAGGTCTCGGAGGAGCTGCGCAGTCCGGCCTCCCTGGCTGCCATCACACTCTCACTCGGCTCTCCGAACAATCTATGAAAAACAGTCCTATAATGGAGGATGTTTGCTGAGTAGAGAACTAACCATGGATGAACTTTTTTTTGTTAAGCCAAAATTGTATATTGACCTCATGTAAACTCAAATTACATAAAATTAAATCAAATTACATAATTAGAACTTACACCTGCTTTAAATATTGAGCCATACATGTTGATTTCCGTACTAACGTAACAAATCTTTTATACAAAATAAATATAAAACATTTTGGATTTTTATGAATCGGTAAGAATTCATTTATTTCCCAATATTGGCAGTTGTTTAGACTTTAAAATTACTTGAGCATAATAATTTATTCTTTTAAAAGATAGCAATTTAAATTGTTTAATGCATAAACAAACCCATTAAGAGCAGGGGAATTGTACACATGTGTCTATCGCTCTAATGGGACAAAAATAAAGTTCAGTTTTTAAGACAAACCGTGTTCTTAAACTGATGCTTTGTTTAAATTTGGTAATTATGTTGATACCTATGCACATTCAAGATTAATTTATCCATCCTACAGTCAACAAATCTAATAGTTGCAGTGACTACAGGGGTTTTGTACTCAAGAATAAAAAAAAACATGTATAGATGTAGTCACAAGGGATTGGATTAAATAAAATTGGTATCAAAACCATTAGATGATCTCAACCTTGCGGTACTACACAAGTTTTTGTTGTTGTAGTAATGAGCATGAACACCTGAAGTTACAGCAACTACTCAGGCTCTTTTTGCAGTAGCACAGGTTAGATAAAATTATGGATCCGTAGACTTCTGTGCCATGAAATTGACATGCAGAAAACGAATATTTCATGTAAATGAACATATAAACATGTCATGTTTCCACTGACCTTCTCCTAGGAGAGTTGACTCCATACTTGTCTCTCACATGTTTCAACGGACTGCTGCCACTGTGACCACTACTGCTGGCTCCACTTTCGGATGTTGGCGTTCGTTTACCTGTCACACAACACATCAGTCACACAACATAGCATATTATCTTAAAACTTTGCTATCGTACCTTCTTATTTCAATGAAAAGTATAAAAGTAAAAACACAAACTTAACATGGGAGAACCTGTAATTAATTGTAATTAAATTAACACTAGGGTAAGTTCATTTTTCACCTTGTTATATTTCTAAGGTTGTAAGTAATGCCATTGACAAAGAACAAAGAAAATAAAATAATTGTATTTGAAAATAAAATACTAAGAACTATTTACGGTCCCATCAACGAAAATGGTGTGTGGAGAATCAGAAAAAACAAAGAATAAGGGAAATCTATACAGACCCAGACATAATAGCACAAATAAAAAGAAGGAGACTGAGATGGGCTGGTCATGTGAAGAGAAGAGACGAAGGTTCTATGCTAAGAATGGTGTCTGAAAATCTAACTCGAGGAAGATGACCACTAGGACGACCTCGGCTAAGATGGCAGGACCAGGTGCTAAGAAACATAGGAAAGCTGCAGAGACAGAATGGATGGAAGACGGAGAGAGGTGGTGACTTGTTGGTGAGGCCAAAAACCTACTGATGTTTGAGTGGCCACAAAGGTAAGGTAAAGTAAGTAATGTCACGTTACCTAATTCCGCTGCTGTAGGAGGAGGGTAGTGCAGCGGGGGTGAGAACACGGCGGGGGTGCCCCGGGGGGATGTAGAGGCTGGCAGCGGAGTATGTGGTGGATGCTGAGGCTGAGATTCCATTGATGGTCCAACCTGGGACAAAAACATGATTGTATCACAGACAAACTGAGCAGGCAATCACTCAATCACATGCAGGAAAAACTAAATGTGTTTCACCTATTGTTCAAAAAATGTGTTCAAAAAATCAATGACCATGAAAACTGTCAATCCCTAGCAGTTATTTTTAAGTTAAGAGGTTATCATAATGTGTTTTTATCTTTACAAAATGTCCTTTGACAAGAGATAATGAATTATTGAACTATCAGAAAAAAAAAACAGTTTTAGAGATTTTGGAAGCAAAAAATAGTTTTCTGTCTGTTAGAAATGTATAGGGCAAACTTTAAGTAACAATTGGAGTACGATTAGGTAGGAATGAAAAATGTATTAGACCACACTAGCTTCAAAATTTTGTGTTTAATGCATTCCATTTTTTGTTTCTTGATATTAATAACTTAGACAGCTACATTCCCAAGTCAGGCTTCTAAAAACAGTTGTACAATATTTGCTACCTTCAATAACAATTTCATTTATGGGACAAGATCATAATTCTCATTTCTTTGAGTTGTATAGCCAAAAAAGCAAATTGAAAGAATAGAGAATCTGTTTTAAATTATAATTAAAATCGTAACTGTGTAAGAACAATCATTTAATTCTATTTACCTGTTTGAGTTCAGCTTTTGTGCGTATTCTCGCTGCAAGGAATGCAGCAAGGCCGTCAAAGTCAGCAGCATTTTCTGCCACAGGTTTAGCAGACACATCGGCCCTAGGAGCCAATGGTGACCTCGGAACAATATCAGCTCTGGGAGGGTAATGGCTCTGAGAGTGATCAGGAACTACAGAGTCCATCGCCTTGGGTATGTGCAGCTTCTGGCTGGGATATGCGATTGCTGCACTTCGCTCCAAGTTCAAGGCATTAAACGGAGGCAGGTTGTGTCTTCCCTGAGGCGTTGGCACAGGCAAGGATTGAGGGTAACCTCTAGAGGAATACATCTTGTTTCTGTCTTGCTGCATTTGTTGTTGGACAAGTTGGTTTGTCGCCTCTCTTGTGTCGAGGCGTTTCCTCAAGATGCTGAGCACTCTTTTGTCCGCCGCCCCATTACTAGGGAGGGAGGGAACTTTCACTTGCGACAGATTGTTGTAAGTTTCTGACACAGATCTCGGTGGTATGCCCTGGGCCATGTACTGCTGTAGTGAACTGTGCGGGTAGTGTTGAGGTGGAAGGTTAGACTTGGAATTGTTCTGCTGAGGACTGAACATAGCTGAGCTTCTAATCAAGCTGTTGCTGGAAGGAAGGGTTGCGCTGGAGTGTGATGTCTGAACTTTGGACGCAGAAGTATACAAAGATGTCTGTTGATGAATTCCAGAACTGTTCTGCAAACTGCTTTCTTTAGAAACACCGTTGACCATGTGACCTCTGGAAGAAGCGTAAGAATTGAGTCTTTGCTCAATTTGTTGATCTATCGTTTGTCTCCAAGTATCAACAACTTTGGGGATTTTTGGTGGTAGCGGATGTCTCAGGTCTGTAGAAGACTGTCTTTTACCGAGAAGATAGTTAGATTCTAAAGAGGATTGTAATGATGATGAAGATGAGTGTCTTTCTACCATATCGTACCTGGCAGAACTACCTCTCTTTAGAGGATCGTAAGGATAGGGATTGTTGGATGATCCAAACGATGGTTGCATGTTGTGAGATGCGTGGTTGGGTATTGCTGCTGACGATCTGTGCGAAGGAGGCCCAGTGGCCGGATAATACTGAGATTGTTTGTTCGGGTCATCATATGCAGCAGAAGGTAAACTACTCCGCTTGAAACTACCCATGTGGGGCAGACTCCCGACCTGAGGAGGGTACTGAGGACTAGGAACGTGGGAATTTGAGCTTTTTCTAGGTCTTTTACTTGGATCTTGAAAGTTCCTGGAATTTGTTGATGAAGAACTGTGATGAGCATTGAAGTTAGGAAGGAAATCGACTTTTGGTGCACCAGCAGTTGAGGTTTGATTGACAGCGTGGTTGTCAAAGTGAGGATACACAATGGTCGATGGCAACTGCAGAGGTGGGACGGAGTTCCTCGGACTTGCTGTCTTTGGATGAAGTTTTCCCCGAAGGAATGCCTCATGCGACTGGATGCTGGCGTAGTAAGCACTCTCCGCATCGTCCTTGGCTGTGGAGTCGGCCGACTGTCTCACAGTTTTCACAGACAAGTCTAGTGGAGACTCTCTTTTGACTCCTCCCATTAGAGCCTGGGTTGGAGTTGTTCGTTGATGATTGCTCGCTTCAGTTGTTGTTGTGGTTGTTGTTTGGTTCGATGGTCTCGATGAGTTACTCGACACAGCAGCATAATAAGCCTGTAACAAAAATTCCATAACTAACTAGATTAAAATACATTGTTTCTTCATAGTAATACCAAACGGATTTTTCAGTAAAACAAACAAATAAACTATTAACAAACAATCACATAAGACCAATGTGGTCTTATGTGATCGTTGCTATTAACCTTTTTTTTTCTTAAATTATATAAAGACTACATATTTATGAACGCATTATTTTTTGTTTTTGTCATTGTTCCTGAAGAAGGCTTAAGCCAAAATATAGACTTTGTATATTAAAAAGTGTGTTAACAGTTCATTTATTTGTTATACTAGATTAAAATACAAAAATCAACTTTTAAAGCATGAAAACAATAAGCTGCCGTAATTTTTCAGCATGATAATACTTTTGATGAACACAAAATGAAGGAATAAGAAATTTCTCTAGCTTAGAAACATTTTTAGAAAACATAAATTTGTCTACAAAAACACTATAAACTCTCTAAAGAATGCCTATATCGACATCAGTTTTATAGATACCAAAAGAAACATATTCCTTTTAAACAGCTTTGACATGCAATAGTATTTTTATTCTTTACCTTCCCTCACTAACTGTATTGTTAGAGTGGCTTGTTCCATTTTGTTATCATTTTGATAGCCTACAATGTGTTCATTGTGACCTATTTATTCTGCATAATAAATCCAATCTTTTGTTTTAATGATGTTTTATTAAAAGTGTGTGTTTTAATTCAAGTAACTTTTTTTATAAATGTGCTATTTCGGGCTAATAAACCATGTAAACTAGTATGTATACTAGTAGTGTCAAAATTATACAATGTTTTATAAAACTGCATGTCATGTTTTTCAAATGCTTTGCAATACTAGTTTTTTTTTCTTTTCAATAGTGGCTATCAAATTACTGTACCAAGCTTCCTAATTTAGTACTAAGACTAAGAGGTCAAGCCTAAAAATTATAAATACCCAGAAAATTTTCTCCTGTTCTACCTTTATTAATGGCATACTCATAACGGTTAAAGTAACCCTAAATATAAAACAAATAAAGTATTATTAACATAAGGAATTCTGTACTAAAAGAGTCCAAAAGAGTTTTATTAAAACTCAGTTCTGAGAATGGCTTGATTCTATTTGCTCTACTTTTAAAATGTCAAAGTGGGAGTTGAATTCTTATTAGTTCGCCAGAACTCTATTTTTCCAAACTAAAACTGCTTTTCTAGGGTTAATATTACTAGGTAGCCTAGTTTTAGTTAATTTGCCTTGTAAAAGTAAAAATACTATACTACTTCTCATCCAAAAACTGAAAAAAAACCTACCGAAACATTGTTAAACCAGTAATGAGTGTAGAAGGCATTCCAATTGTCATAGTCTATGTACATTTTGAGCAATCACTTTTAACACTGGCACATTCCACAAGAGAGAAACTTTCTACACTGCCCAAGAGGGAAGACGCTGATGACTGAGGTCTGAGACTGGACAATAAAGTATCAAAATTCTTTGGTTTAGGGGAAGGTCCAGGTCCTTCATTGTCTGACTGTCACATTCTCTACCTGCTCCCTGCTCTCCCCTATCCCCAACCCACACCCACACAAACACACTATCACAACCTTTAAACTGGATAGACCCTCTAAACTCTACCCTATAGAACAAGAGTCCCTTGTCCAAGAGGATTTAGTTGAAGCATGATAGGTTTATTTACATCCCAAAACACCCCTTTGTTTGTATTTGTTGATTTTAATGAAATCAGGAATAATAATTCATCACACCATTCCTGAGACCCATAAAAATAATTGTTTGATTATTTGGTTCAAACAACAATAATAAAGGCACTTTTGGTAGGAAAAAAATAATCATAGGACAAAATAATCGGTATTATCAGTGACATGGCTATGTTTCAGATCCTTCTGCCATTGGCTTGTCAAGTCCCTTATATTGGGTAAGCGGTGGGAGTAACTGTGATATTTTATGGGGAAAATCATATAGGTTCCAATAACTTTCGATCAGTAGTTTTTACACCAATGAGGGTAGTGTAACATACCAAACCTTAATCAAAATAGTTCGGGCCGTTTTTTTTTTAAATCAGATTTTCCGAAATTTTATGGGAGATGCTTTTTGTAGCCTTGTCACTGGCTACAGTATAAGGTTAGTTGTTTCTTTAGTCAGGACCATACATAAATAGCTTATTGCATATTTTGGAAATTCGCTAAAAACCGAATGTCCCAGGATTTTGGACGAGGACTCATGACGTTTATCAATTTGATGATATCAAATAATCAACTCACCTGTTGCTGCGCCTGGACCGCCGCCAGCTGACGTTGCTTCAGCCTCAGCATCTGCTCCATCTCGGCCAGCTTCTCCGTGTCTCTCTGGTGCTGTTGTTGTTGCTGCTGTTGTTGTTGCTGTTGTTGTTGTTGTTGTTGTTGTTGATGATGCTGTTGCTGCTGGTGCACCTGTTGATGCTGGGGACGAGACGAGGTCTGTTGCACCGTCTGGTTGTACATCGCCGCTTGCTGCTGCAGCTGCTGGTGATGTTGCTGAGTCATCATTTGTTGCCGCTGATGATGACTCAGACTCGTCTGTTGACTGTGCTGATCATGCCTCGCTTGTTGCTGATGCAACATCTGTTGTGAATGGCTTTGCTGATGTTGGCCCAACGATTTTTGCTGATGGTAGTTGGCTAGACTCTGATGTTGATTGCTGCTTTGTTGCTGCTGGCTGTTCGTGTGCTGAGGCTGCAGTTGATGTTGATTAGAATGACTCGGAGGTCGGGCAGGAAGTGAGTGTGTTTGATAGCTGTTTGATTGATGGTATTGGTGTGAAGGTTTCCCTTGACCACTTGCATGCTGTTGATTAGGGTGTTGTGGATAGCCGCTTGATAATTGGTCCGGAGTACGCTGATTACTGGGCGGATTCTGATGACTTGACTGTTGGTGATTAGAATGTTGTTGAGCAACACTTGAATGTTGTTGAGGAACACTTGAAAGATGTTGATGAATGCTGTTAGAATGGTGTTGTGGGGTATGTGAACGATTCGTATTGCTATTTGGTTGCTGCTGCTGAGAACTAGAGTGCTGTTGAATCGTACTCGGATGTTGCTGATGATTGAGATGTTGTTGATGACTATTAGTATGCTGCTGTTGATGATTACTAGAGCGTTGCTGTTGATTACTGGGATGTTGTTGATTACTAGACTGCTGATGACTACTAGAATGTTGCTGGTGACTTGTAGGATGTTGTTGATGAGTTCCTGAATGCTGATCATCCAACTGTTGTTGAACGCTAAGAGGGGTTTGTTGTGAACTAGAATGCTGTATATGACTGTTGGCGTCTTTTTGGAGAGAACTTGTTTGTTTGTACCCACTGGAATGCAGCTGACCACCAAGAGATTGTAAACTGGTTGATTGCATTTGTTGTTGGGTATGATTATGCTGCGGGTATTGTTGACTAGGCTGCTGGATGACGGGCGACATCGGGTGATGGCTAGGGGAGGGCGATGACAGATACTGCGGCTTGTGGTGAGGTTGAGGCGACGCTGACGTGGTGTGAGGCGAGTAGCTGTAGGCGAGGGGCGAGGGTGACGAGACGACGGGCGACTTGGACGACGAACTACGACTAATGCTTTGGTTGGAGAGAGGTTGGGGACTGTATATACTATGGTGGTTGGACTGCGGATAGTCAGGGGTGCGGAACGGCTGGGAGGGCGGGTGCCGCAGGACCGTTTGCGAGTGGTAGTTGGAGGCTACGGGAGGCAGGTTGTGTTGTGCCGAAGGTTGTTGAGGCTCCGGTAGCTTGGTGCCGTTGTAGACGTGGTGGAGCGGCGACGCGAGCGCGGGCGATTTGTCCTTGGTCCTCTGCGGTTGCGGCCAGTAGGACAGCACGGAGGGCGAGGAGGCCGGCGGTCCGTGGGGCGGAGGTTGCACCGGCGTCGCGGCGGCCGGGTGACTGGGAGGCGCCGCACCGGGGTTGCTGGCCGGCGCCGGCAGTCCTTGGAAGAACGGCCGGACGCTCTCCAGCACTGGGTTGACGGACACGTCCATCTTGTCTGCAACATAAACACATCAACCATCAAAGCCTAATCACATTTCGGTTATACAATAAGAGGAGTGACGTAACAAATCATAGTTCAACACTAACAACGTACACGAAATTGTGCGTGTGATCACTATGTTTATACAGGGTGAGTTTTAATTGTCCCCCCCCCATACTTTTTTCTACATTTTTTCAAATATCAATCCCAGACCACTTCCAAACATTGTTGGGTAGTAAGTACTTCATTTTGACAAGGTGGTCATTTCCGGCCGCCATCTTGGATCCGCCATATTGGATGCAAAATATTTTTTTCAAATGTAAAGGTGGGGTTGTGACCCATTATTCTGAACTACATTTTTACTCTGATTACAATGCCACAAACCGTTTTTAAAAATCTTAATTCATTCCAAAGTTATGAGGGCTTTTTAAAACTTTATTTTTAGCCCATTTTAACATTGTGCATTTACAAACTAAGGCCATAATCTCAAAATAGTGCTAGATAAAGATAAGTATACACTACCAGTCATTGTTGACCTATTTTCACTTGGTTATGGCTGATGTTTTTTTTTTTTCGGCCGCCATCTTGGATCCGCCATTTTGAAATGTGATAAATTATTTTAAATATGAAGGGGGTGTTGTTACCCATCATTTCGAACTACTTTTTTAAGCTAAACTCAATGCCGCAATTCATTTTTGGTTATCAAGCTTTATTTATGAAATATTGCAATTTTTTTGTTAAAAATGTCAATATTTCAAAATCAAAATATGAAAATGAAAAACGGATCATGGAATTGAGTTTAGCTTAAAAAAGTAGTTCGAAATGATGGGTCACAACTCCCCCTTCATATTTAAAATAATTTATCACAATTCAAAATGGCGGATCCAAGATGGCGGCCGAAAAAAATACATCAGCCATAACCAAGTGAAAGTAGGTCAACAATGACTGGTAGTGTATACTTATCTTTATCTAGCATTATTTTGAGATTATGGCCTTAGTTTGTAAATGCACAATGTTAAAATGGGCTAAAAATAAAGTTTTAAAAAGCCCTCATAACTTTGGAATGAATCAAGATTTTTAAAATCAGTTTGTGGCATTGTAATCAGAGTAAAAATCTAGTTCAGAATAATGGGTCACAACCCCACCTTCACATTTGAAAAAAATATTTTGCATCCAATATGGCGGATCCAAGATGGCGGCCGGAAATGACCACCTTGTCAAAATGAAGTACTTACTACCCAACAATGTTTGGAAGTGGTCTGGGATTGATATTTTTAAAAATGTAGAAAAAAGTATGGGGGGGGGGACAATTAAAACTCACCCTGTATAATGCTCAGCACGTTTAATGTGTACAGCCTAGTCTAGTCTGGTAGGCCTACCTGTAGAGATGTGAGGGTGAGGGTCAGCGACGAGGTGAGCAGGTCATGGTGGCGGCCTCAGGCTGAGCGGTCGTCCCCATGGCTCTGCAACACAACAGCAAGGTAACAACATGGCACAGTAGACATATAACACTAAACATTACGTATCATCTAGGACAGTTTATGATGGGGGGAGGCGTAAGTAGTCACTAACTAAATCGATGCACCACAGGTCTATGCTGGAGGCTGGGTAGTTTTACCTTAACCGTCAACCCCTTTAATAGCGTTTAGGATATTAAGTGTGTACTCAGGAAATACCAGTGATAAAACTTCAGGCAAGGAACATACATTTACGATGGTCAATGCATTCGACTCAATAGAGTCATTTCAAAATAGAGCCACTTCGCAGAAAAAGATTAAAAATCATAACTTCGCGACCATCTATACAACCTACGGTGAAATCCATTCCGTTAAACAAATGCATTATCGGTCGGAATGAGAACCCCGTTCGATCAGAACCGCAACATAATACCGAATAAAAGCAAGCAATGCGTAATTGAATACTGGTGTTGAATACGACTGTTAATTTATGTGAAGGGAGGTTTGTGAGGGAGGGAAGGGAAGCCCTTAGGTTGCCATGACGACAGTAGGTCTGCTAGTGCTTAACACTCTATGTGGCTTACATACACGGGGAGGTAACAGGAGTTACAGCAACACTGTTGGCGAGAAGAAAGATGGGAACTCGTATTTTTGTTCGCTATGGATAAAATATATGGGAAAATACGTTTACTAAAACATTTTGACAAAATATATATAGAGAGAAAAGGAGGAAGAGTAAAAATAGAGAGGTATTTTGTGAAAGAAGAGTTAGAAGAGACGACCATACAATTGGACAGTCATGAAAGAAGTGACTAACGATATAATTTATAATTAATTCAGAAAAAATAAAAACATTAGTAGAAGATGGAAATGAAGATATCTCTGAATACCATAATTTGTTATTGCAATATGTTAACATTGTGTATTTTTAAACTGTTGTTGCCAATAATTTAGATACCTGTATTATTTCTACAACAATACAGATTATTCGAGTCGTTTCTGATTGATATCATAACTGTGCATGCTATAAACACAGTACCCAGTGGACTACCCACATCAAACCCACAAACAAGCGCAACCAATTGTGGCTTTTTGAATTGTGTTGAATTCATCATTATGAGGCGAATAGGTCGGTCGCTGGTTTAATCAATTTTGAAACCTTAAATTGTCCAAATTAACTTGCCTACACTTAACTGTTTGTTATAACTATTTTTGGTACTGTACGATAAAACAGTCATTTCATAACTCCAAGATTCTAGAATTTAACTTAGTTTGTAGTTAGCCGGATTCGAACCCAGACCTCAATAATCGCAGTTTTCCCCACCTAGAGTAATACACTAAGTAAAACTAGTAATAATAAATTAGTATGAATAAGATAATTTATATTGGTATAAAAAGAATAAACCAAATTGATTGGTAGTTTTATTTAACAGCTCATCTGTCCTTGGTTAGTCTGATATAAATAAATACCCAAGAAAGAGTTCGTCTTTGACAGTAACAAAGCAGCACAAATTATCTCACTTTATACATTAACTTTTCATTTAAAACCCCTTTAATACACAAAGGAGTGCGGCGCTGATTTAACTGAAATGAATTGAATACTCAGCAATTCTAAATATAAAGTAAAAATGTGAAGGAGCTCAATCGCTTTTGATATAAAATTTCACATCCTTTGTCGCAGATTGTTGGATGAAGCAGACAGAGAAGCGTTTGCTGCATGGCTGCATATTCAAGGTCATATCACTATGCGATGCAACGTCCCCCCCCCCACACACAACGCACTCACATGCTATCGATCAGCTGATCTGTCACTTTGTCGCGGCTATTTCGGTCACCTGCACCCTGCAAACAGGTGTACCAACACTACAGGAAAATTAACTCATCGATGTATATGTAAAAAAAAATGTAGTGAAGGGATATTCCCTTCATTGATTATATTAATCAATGTAAAAACTGATCAAGCCAAACTACACGTTTGGATATGATAACACTGGTACTGAATATTTTTTAAGAAAAAAAAAACTACGCTGTAATACATGCAGCGTAGTGAAAAATTGTTGTCAATTGGTCAAGGTTAATTATTTAAACATTTAATCCCCTTCACGTTGTTCCCACTTGACTGAAGTCCTAAATCAACGTAAACTTAACAGGGGGTGCGAAAATAGAAACCACTGAAATTAATGCCACGGATATTAATGTTAATAATAATGTTACATTTGTATATACGTTTCTCTAACCCCCCACAATGCGTTGTGATCTAAAACGATCTATTTAATACAATAAGGGCTCTGTAACATTCCTTTTTCAGCCGTCCCGTGAACAAATTTTTACGATTGAGGTGTTATCTTAAAGCTTATGACTTATAGGAGGGACAAATATTGTAACTAAAAATGTAATTTTCCTTGGCGTTTCCCCCCTTTGTGTTTGATTTATTTATAGTGTTCACCTTTAAACATCCAGTGATACTGAACAAATTTATTTATACCAGTTTTAAATGTGAATCGTATAATAGCTGTTCCTTCAGTTTAGCAACTTCAGTTAGATCGTAAACAAGTGACAAAAAAGTTTATGAAATTGGATTTTAAATAGCCTATGCTACTTTTAGTGATATTGGAACCTTGTTGAGGTTCTGTAAGTAAATCACTATTTAAGGTATTGATCTACAATTAAAAACATATTGTATATTAGTAGTTTTTTCACATAATACTGCCTTTAAACAAACATACACAATCTAGAGGTAATTAAAATGAATAATTGTGCACGGGTTACTCGTACTAATTAAAGATCAACTGAATTGCAGAAGTGATTGTGATTTCGGAGTGTAACTGATACGCATTAGCCTATTACTAATTTCAACTGTCGATATTCTACCACATACGTAATTGAATATTGGTTAAAATGCGTTTTATAGAATAAATGTACGACTCACATTTAAACGATTTATATACACGAGGTTTCGATTCCATAAAACTACATGTAAAGTAGTGAAAGATATTTAGATAAATTCAACAAAAAACTAAACTTGATTTAAAAGAACAACATTATACGAAGGAAGATTCAATAACAAACTAACCACAAACCAGCTTACAGTAGTGTGTGGCAATAGTCACTATGTCTTAGCAGTGAGTTGGCATCGACTCTCATGAGATTAGTCGTTCAGTAGAAACATTATATTGTGGTGTTTGACTCTTGCGACTAACATTTATTGTAAACAACTTAAATATTAACTTGAACAGTTTCTAGTGTTAACAGTTACAATCGTATGAATTGGTACAACAACTGAATTTGTACCTACATTTTTGTGTTAAATGAAAATTAAATGAATTCATGGAAATTCATCAAGGAACGGGAAGAGATGTATTTTGATTGATTAAATTAGACTTTTATACTATCACCATATGGCATTTGGATATTAAACATCCCATCTATATGGACCAGCTGTGGCAATTTTTTGTGCAATCATAACAATACAATGAGTCACTCACAGTATGGTACAGTCAAAAGTTTTCCCTCCGTTTTTGACACTACGATAGTTGATGGTTTGTACTGTGGTGGTTTGTAGCAAGTTTTACTTTCATTTTGTACTACTCTGTTGCATTCGACAATTGTACAAACCGACAATCTATCTCGCAATTCCACCTTATTGGCGGGCTAAGGTGAGAACTATAATCCTACAATGGCAAACAAAGTTACTGCCGAGAGTTAATAATACATGTACCGTGACCAAGACCCCGGGGTGGGGGGTTGGTTACCATGACAACGGCCTCACAGCTGTTTTGTATTCTGGGCTAATTCCCCAGTTTAACTCAGCCCTCTTCACTCAAACCTTTAATACCCACTATTGCTGTATCATCGTTTTAAACATCTTTAGCCGTGATTTCGGCTTGCATCGTAACCACTAGCTAGGGTTGTTCAGCGAATTTCTTTGTAGGATAGCCGTAGTTTCCGTAAAAGTCAAACGTTCTGAGGATTGCAAATCAAATAATCTTAAAATGGGAAACGAGGTATTAAGTTGTACTTATTATCCGCATATTGGCAACAGAAGTAATTGATTTTCGGTAAATGGTATACCATGTCTGCTGGAGAGTAAATTTGTTGCCGTGAATTGCTTGTTATATATAATAGTAATTCATTTTCATTGCAATCAAAAACAGTTCTCACATTAGCAGCAAACCTACGTACTCATAATTCTTGTATTATTAAGAGTATATGTCTTATCATGATTATTGGTAGATAAAAACTTTAAAGCATCCTTTCCAAGACAAAGTAGGCGACCTCCAAATGAAAAACTTTTTGAATTTAGGAGTTTAAAACTTAAATAATTGAATTTAATGAAACTGTGTGATTGACTCATTAATGCGACCTATCAGTTGCGTTTTGTTAAAATAATCAAACCATAGTGACAAACTGTCTAAAAATATGTAATATACGGTGTCCCACAAGGAGGCTGTTATTTTGAGGTAGTTTATTTTTGTCTGCTATTACCGACGTATCGAATAAGCTACACACTTAATAACATGACATAACAGGAAGTAACAGTTATAATAAATGCACATGTGTAAAAACTACCTTCGAGAATCATTTAAATCAGAATCAACTGGCGGAGCAACAAAATAACAAAATTAGCAAAAGAACAGCTAGCGTGATTTACAAAGCGAGTAACAATTAACGGGAATCAGTTTGAATCGGTTAGGAATTTAAATTATTTCATTAATAATTCACCATCATCCCATCTCTTTAATTCCTTCCATTTTGTTTACTTAGGTAACATTGTCTAAAGATGAAGAAAGAGTTTGAAATTGTTTTGGCAAATAAAACTCATTTACACGTTAAAAGCTTCATTGTTATTTTTATATTTCACCATTTTGTTCTGATTGGTTGAAATTACATGATTTGTAGCGTGTTCGATGCGTTTGGTATATTAATTAAAACATAGCGCGAGTGACCTCTTCGTGGGACACCCTGTATAATTTAATACCGCGTTTGGCACATTCAGTACAGAACAC